TTTTTTTTTTTTTTTTTCCATTTTCCATAGAAAACCAAGGCTATCAAACAGGCCCTTGGAGAATTGTGTTGATAAAGACATAATGAATTGAAAATTTCATAATATCTTATAATCTTTATATATAAATTATAACCAATCACGAGTTACAAATAATTATGAGGAAAAAAAATTGGGGTTGCGGCGTTTGTAATTTGTGGATTTCAATACATGGGAGTCGTGGACATCTATGACGCAGGATTTAAGACAATTTTTGTGTTTTACTCGTACTTTATGACTGCGTCAATGGCTATGAAGAGCTGCAAAGATTATAAACAAATTTCTATAACATGATTTGTATGATATTGTTTATTTATATTACAATAAATACGGACGAGAGAAAAATAGGAAATGATGAAAAATAAAAGTGGTAATCGTTTCAAGGTAAAGGAAGGAAGCGATCGTCGAGACTAACTTGCAATCAAAGATGGTAAAATTTCAGAGGTTTTGAATGGATTGAACAAAAAATAAATAAAACCCTGTTTAATGTTGGGGATTGGATTTCATATTTTCATTTTAATTGACAACAACAACAACAACAACAACAATAATAATAAGTGTAATGTTGGGAAGACGAGCTCTGTAATAATATAAGTGTAATTGTTTTGAATTCAATAAAAATATGCATGTAATTTATAGTAATTAGCATAAAACATTTTTACCTTTCAATGTTATTGTACAAAATGTCCATACCTTTCATTTTTTGGCATTTTCACCCACATTTTCATCTTTCATTTCGAAAAAGGTCATTTCTAAATATAAAATGTAAAATAACAAATATACCCTCATATTTAAATAAAAAGAAAAGAAAAGAAAAAATTAAAGAAAAATTGTAATTATACTCCCAAACTTTTTAAAAAAACTGCAAATGAATCCAAATAAATTATTAAAAGGGCAATTAGCACAAAACGCCAACACTTTTCAATATTATTGTGCAAAACATCCCTACCTTTCATTTTTTCACATTTTCGTTTTTATTTTCACATTTCATTGTGAAAATCATCATTTTCATCCATTTTCTCAATTAAAAAGCAGTGAAATAACGAATATACCCTTTTATTTAAATAAATAAAGAACAAATTGCAGCTATACTCTCAAATTATTCCAAGGAAAAAGTACAAATAAATTCTAAATAAATAATTTAAAAAAAGAAATAAAAAATTTCCAGAAAAGTACAAAATAAATTTCAAATAAATAATTAAAAATGGAAATACAACATTATTTGTACTTTTTTTGAAAAATTTGGGAGTATAGATAGAATTTGTTCTTTATTTTTCTTTTCTTTATTTTTGTTTTATTTAAATAAGAGGATATATTCATTATTTTATAGCTTTTAATTGAAAAATGGATGAAATGATGATTTCCATAATGAAATGTGAAAATAAGGGCAAAAATGCTGAAAAATGAAAAGTATCAACGTTTTGTATAATAATATTGAAAGATTGGAATGTTATGTACTAATTACCCTTTTAATAATTTATTTGGACTCATTTGTATTTTTTTTTTTTAAGTTTTGGTGCATAATTACAATTTGTTCTTTAATTTTTCTTTTCTTTTCTTTTTGTTTTATTTAAATAGGAATCTATAATTGTCATTTTACATTTTTCTTATTAAGAAAATGACATTTTTCGCAACGAAATGTGAAAATGGGGGTGAAAATGCCAAAAAATGAAAGTAATGGACGTTTTGCACAATAACATTGTAAGATAGTGATATTTTTTGCTAATTATCTTGTAATTTACAATTGGTAATTATGACATCTAAGTGGTTTATTTCCAAAGTCTTTTCATTCTATGTGCAGATTTATTCGTCACAGAAACGCGTGAGCCTTACCAAAATAAACAATGACAAAAAATTAACCTATCCAGCCCCCATGTGAGGTGTCATAAAACCCCTACTTGTACACCAAACAACATTGATGTATGAAATAGTAGAATAGTTTCTTGACATATGCAACTAGGAGTATAACCTACACACTACACATATCAACTAGAATAATGCTATCTAACACTTGTAATATGTTATCTCTTATTTTCATTGTTACTTTGGGAAGTTGGATTTTGAATCCCTCCTGCGCCATTTTTTTTGGGACACCAGGAACTATGTTTAGCTAAGTTTCAACACCAGCTCATCTTAGGCGTAGCTGTTCTATTACAAATATCCGACGAAGTGGCTTACGAGTTCTTCTAAGAACTTGGCTATACCTAACATTTTTCTTACTCCAAATTAGTCATTCAACTTTTATTTTTTTACTTTTGTGCGGATTGTCTGTTAATATTGTGCTGTAGTCCATCCTAAGATTTTGCCTTTTTCCCTTCTAGACATAAAATTATCCGACTTTGCAAAATTGGTCTGAAAAAAGATGCAATGACATGTTTGGGTAAACTTAAATGTCACTGAAAAGTTGTTTTTGCTGTATTAATCTACTTTTAATCTTACCCAAATATGCTTCCACTGAAAAATTTAGTTCTAATTTAACTCTCATTGATACATGCCTTGAAATTTTTGCACACTGGTTTAATAAAGTAAAATTTAACTTCAGAGAAAGTTGGACATATGAGAGTCACACGATAATTTAATAAAGATCGAACACTTCTTGGTGAGTAGGTAGGGACTAATTATGCTATTATACGGCAAAGTTCAATGAACAATTTGCGCCTTTTTAGAACTTAAACTTAGCTTGCTATATCCCGACATTAGTGAATTTTTCCTAATTATTGTGTTGAGAAGGTAAATTTACTCTGTAAGAACAATGAGTCAAAAGAGGATATTTTTCTCCACTACATTTGAAGCAATCACAATGTCAAAAGTAAGTAATAAAGGTAGAAAAGGGTGAATTGAGTGTAACCTTTATGCATGATAAGGGCATTAGGGTTAATTTGTATCCACGCCAATTGATGTTTAAAGTTGCGTCCAGAAAATTCTTTTTTAAATCCAACTTTTACGAAAGTTAGATTCAAAATGAAAATTTGCAGCTACTTTCCGTCACGATAGTTGCTTAGACGTCAAATCTACTGTAGAGGGAAAAGTGATTTTTATGGAAAAAGGTTGGCATCGTGTCATAGGCTATAATTTTTTTGTGGTTTACAGAATTTCTTTTAGGATTTTACAGCCATAGATGAAGAAAACTTTCTTTCTAAATTCAAAATTCAAAATATGTTGTAATGCATAATTTCTTTAACTAAAAGCAAGAGAAAATATAATAGAATAGAAATGAAAAAGACATTAACGTGTCTCAGTAGTCAAGCTCAATCAAGTCGTGAATGGTGGGAAGATGTTAGAAGGATATACATGCACGAATGTATCCGTACCTAACGATGAATTAAGTGGTATTTTAATAATTTAAAATTGTCTCGTCTAGAAACTAGTGACTCGCATTTTCAATAAATTCGAGTTGATTGATAGAACGATATGTAATGTCCCGTTTGACCTACTAACAGAACTAATAATTCATTCACCTAATGTTTTATAGGAACAATAACCGAGTCAATTGATCTTCGTTTCAATTTATCACTATTTTTATCGAAATACATACATACATATACATAAACGACAATCATTGAAGTTATTTGAATTTGTCCACTCTGTTTATCGTTTGGTTCAAGTCATTGTCAAGAAAATAAATGATGTTGAGAGTGATGTTCATCAATTATTTCTCCAATAAAGTTAGCAAGCTACTTTCTTCAAATTCATCATTGAGTATTTTTATAATGCTTCATCCATTTATAGGGAGGCCATTTACAGCTTATTTTTTCACTTAAAAATTAAAATAGCTTAATTTCACCTTTTTTAGCCGACACAAACACGATTTTAACATAAGTACATGAAAAATAATTAAGATTTTAAATCAGCAAATCGTGCAGTCCACTTAAATTAAAGCACTTGAATATATTCCATTTCTAAGTATATTTCAAATCTCAAATCAATGTTACAATTAACGTCTTGTTTATTTGTTAAGAATAGTGAAGTGTCGAAGTTACATATTTTAACTCGAATATGATTTCCTTTATACTTTCTTTTTATTTTCTCGGTTATTGGCTTTTCTTAAATTATTAATATTTGCTTATTCACTGTCAAAATAGTGCATGCCATTTTAATGTGAAATTGAATCTATTATTCATCGAGACGGCTGATGTTCCACCCCTAAAATATCGAGAATTGATTTATTTATAATTAATGTTGAAGATTTTATTTATTTATTTATTTATTTATTTTTTTGGCACAGTTATAATTGTTAGAGAATCTATTGCAATTTTTACTATTATTTTTAATCTAACTGGCGAATCATTACCAATGGAATCCATTCCATTTGAGAATACATAATGCAAACATAAAAAAGAAGACAAAAGAATTTCAAACAGTTAACACAGACAGCACGATATCCAGTAAAGTATAATAAAAGCGCTTTTTAGTGGATTCGAACTGTATAAAACTGTACCAAATTTGTGCTGGACAGATTTCGTTGTAGAAATTTGTAATCCTGAGATGAAGTCAGCACTATGTCATCATTACACTGGTCCTTAAAGACGTTGCACATAAAAATTTTAAATTTCAAATCAAGGTCAAAAGGAACTCAACTGCCGTCAATCCTTGATTTTGACTTGTTTTGTTTACCCACCAAAGACTTGAGAGACTTCCAATTTTTAGAAGCAAACGAATATTACACAAATAAGAAAAGTGGAAATTACACCGACTCAGAATTTTAAGATACACGATTCAAAAATTAGATTTAATTAAAAAAAAAATCAGATACTTATTCATTTTTAATATTATAAAATTAAATTAATTAACATGCTTTATCCACACTACCTAACTCTCAAACCCTAAATTTCTCTCTCTATTCTCTACACTTTTTCCTCTCTAGCAATTTCAAACCTAAAATTTTCATCCCTCTTCTCCGTCTCTCTCCCGTCTCTCTTTGTTGGTGACGTATCCACATGCCTCCACCGCGAAAAGCAATCAGTAGTCACAGTTGTCGTTGCGCAAAGCGACCTTTGACACTTGTTGCTCACGGCTCGAAGTGGCACCATCCTGCTACGACTCCGTGCAACTGCTTCCGACACTCACAAGTTGCATCGCTGTGCACAGTCGAGATGCTATGCCAAACAAAGACTAAGTGTTGGCATGGGATGGGTGCATGTGAATTTGACAAAATTGGATGGTACCTGTAAATTCATGTTCGCCAATAAGCCTCATAACATGTTAGTGTTGGTTTTGAATATATTGTTCCAATAATTAGTCATTGATCTTTAATACATAATCAATCCTTAAATCTTTTATTATATTTATAAAACCAACTTCTAGTGACATAAATTATCTAAATGTTCATTAAATTTTATGACGACTCTCGTGGAAGTTGGAACTATGCACCACTTCAAATTTTTGGGTATTAATTCAAGTCAATAAGCAAAATCCATATAAAGTAAACTATGCAAAAGTCCAATAAAAACTTAACAAATATTTGAACAATTTGTACAAATAAAGACGAATTGTGCAACTTGATATTTAAAAAAAAAAAAAAAAAAAAAAAAGTTAAACGGGAGTATTTGATGTGGATCATCCAATCAAGTATAATTAGATAAATTCGAATTTTTTAAGTCAAAAGATCAATTTTTTTTATTGTTACTTAACATAGTAAACAGTTATTTTTGACCTGTTCTGTCATATGTGAGATTCATTTTTCTTCCTCACGATCAAAAATTAATTCTCATAATCAGCACCAAACATGTCCTAAAATAGCAATGTACGGTAATAAAATTTTGTTTAATGGAACCAAGTGAATTCTAAGCCCCTGTTTGACCCCCATTACCTGAAAATGGTAATGGGGGAAATAGTATTTTTTAGAAAAATGAGTGGTTGAAAAAGAAGGTAAAATTTTCGATTTACGTGTAATATTATTTTATGGAAGATTGTATGATTGAAAATAGAAGAGAGAAAAATGGAATGTAATGTAATTTAATTTAATGGTAATCAAACAGGGAAAGTAGAGCACTATTGAATTACAAGTATAGAATGTGAGCACGTGTCAATACGCTCAAAAGTCGTACAATCTGGCAACTATTTCAACTCTTTCCCACAGTTAGTCTTCTCACACCAAGAAAACAAACAAAAATTAGGCAATCAAAGTAGAATCCAAAGTCACAAAAGTCCAAATCCTTTCACTGAACCACTGTGAGATGGATTAATAATTGATAAAATATCAAACCTTTTGAATTTTATTTCTTTGTTCTGAACCAAACCCAGAAAATGGCTTTTCCAAGATTCTTCATTTTCCTTCTTTTGATTGCATTTGCATCTGTTTTGGTAAAACCCAGTTGTGGAAATGCAGAACTCAGAGCATTAATGGATATAAAGTCATCTTTGGACCCAGAAAATAAGTACTTATCATCATGGGTCAGTGATGGGGATCCATGCAGTGGGAAATTTGAAGGTGTGGCATGTAATAAGCACAGGAAAGTTGCTAATATTTCACTGCAAAGTAAAGGGCTCACCGGAAAAGTGTCGCCGGCGGTGTCGGAGCTCAAGTGTTTGTCCGGTCTTTACTTGCATTACAATTCTTTGACTGGAGAAATACCCAAGGAGATAGCTAATCTCACTGAATTGACAGATCTTTATCTCAATGTGAATAATCTCTCTGGAATTATACCACCGGAGATCGGGAGCATGGCTAGTCTTCAAGGTTTGTACTGTGTGATTTTATATTACTGCCTCATCTCAAAGCTTAAACGGTTAGAAATAACCATTGATTGTAATTGGGTGATGACGAGACTTCAAATCGAAACTAAACTACTGATGCCAGGTTGAAGTAAAACCTTGAGATGTCAGAGATTAGAAATAACACGTTTAAAATTTGTTTATCTCACGCTGTTATCGAACTTATGATTAAAACAATGACACTTAGTGGTTTTATTTCCGTAAAAGAAAAGTTTAAAGCTTTCTTCCTGGATTCTGAATATAAGATGCATCATGCACCCCAACTTAGGTTATGTATATTGGATGTGTCTGTTTTTGAAAAATTAACTGTTAATAATCCAAAAGTTTATATGTTTCCAATCATTTAATTTGATAAAGCTTAATATTTGAATTGCTAATCTGCATCTAGGAAAGGGGTATTTTACTTACAGGATTTGGTTATTTTCCAACTCTATTTTATATGATTTAAATTTGTTGTTTTTTCCAGCGCTGGTGCTATCTTGTAACCAGCTAACGGGGAACATACCTAAAGAGATTGGGTTCCTAAAAAGGTTGACTGCTCTTGCACTCGAAAACAATAGACTAAATGGGCAAATTCCCGCAAGCTTGGGAAATTTGGGAGGGCTCAAGTGGGTTTATTTGAGTTCCAATCAACTATCCGGTCCAATTCCAGTTAGATTGGCGAATGTTCCCCTATTGAAGGTTCTAGAAGTACAAAACAATACCCTTTCCGGAGTCGTGCCTTCCTGTAAGTTGATTTCTTTATATTCATGCATTCTGTAATGGCCTTGTGTTCTTTCTTTTATCAATTAGGAGCTGTTTTAGACGAAAGTTTCATACATGGTTTTCACATTGTTTGAGGAACTGTAGATGTTATCAGAGTGAAGGATAGTCAACTAGGTGATTCTAATGTGTTATAGTTCATTATTATTCAAGACTTGTGTCATTTGACGAGGCCATTGGAATAGCGAGAAACATATCGAACAGGTGTTGGAATGTATTCGATTGTTTCAATACCAAAAAATATAGAAAAGTGGGTTTGAAGGAATGTATAACAAGAATTCTTGGATTGCTTATTAGAATGGGTGTATTTTTTTATTTCTTTTTTCTCTGCATTGTTTTTCTTGCTAAATTTTCTTTTCCTGCACAAACATTCTAATTTTTGTTCTTGTTCTTTTTCCTTCGATACTTGTGAGAAGCTTTGAGGAGGTTGAATGGAGGATTCCGTCCTGAAAACAACCCTGGTCTATGTGGGGTTGGCTTTTCTTCATTGAGAGTTTGCACTGATCGGGATAATCTAAACACGAATCAAAGTGAATCAAATGTTCCAAGTGCCAATAAAACTGTATCTCCAAATATGCCCCAATCTGCTAGTTTGCCAATGCCTTGCAACCAAACTCATTGCTCAAGATCTTCATCAAAATTACCACAGATAGGCATTGTAGCAGGAGTAATCACAGCCGTAATTGCATTGATGGTCGGGGGATTTCTCATCATTTTCCGGTATCGTAGGCGTAAACAGAAAGTTGGGGACACATCTGATACTCTTGATGACCGGCTTAGCATCGACCAGGCAAAAGAAGTATACAAGAAAAGCCCCTCCTCTCTTGTAGATCTTGAGTATTCGATTGGATGGGATCCTGCGATCGCTTCTCAAGATTCCAATGGTATATGTCACGAGTTTTTAGATGTCTTCAAGTTTAATTTGGAAGAGGTTGAATCAGCAACTCAACATTTCTCAGAGTTGAATTTATTGGGAAAGAGTAATTTCTCCGCTGTATACAAGGGAATTTTAAAAGATGGATCACGAGTAGCAATCAAAAGTATAAGCAAGATGAATTGTAAGACAGTCGAAGCCGAGTTTATAAGAGGATTAAGCTTATTGACTTCTCTGAAACATGAAAATCTTGTTAAATTGAGAGGTTTCTGTTGCTCAAAGGCCAGGGGCGAATGTTTCCTAATCTACGACTTTGCTTCAAAGGGTAATTTGTCTCATTATCTTGACAACGAGGATGATAGTATTAATGTCCTTGACTGGCCGACAAGGGTTTTCATCATCAATGGGATTGCAAAAGGTTGGTTTCCTCCTACTCCTATGAATCATATGTTCACTTGGTTTTGAAGATTATATCTTTTCTTATTTTTCTGTCACAATTTAACAGTAGCAGGTCCTCTGTTTGTTTGATTATATCATATATGTACCCTTCCTTGAGCATTAGGTTGTTTGTCAATAAATAAGCTGATGGAGCCTACAAAGAGTCGGAATACGTGGCTCTTGGGATCTCCTAAAGACCAAAATGATTCAGTCTTATTTTTGGTCAGTACAGTCGTATTAGGTCAACTTATCAGACTTCTACAAACAGAAACAGGTTTCTAAGTAGAACGAGAACATAGCCCCTTATTCCTTGTGATTTTGTGTGAATTCCTTGGTTTTTAGGGAAACTGACCTTTTCTTATTAAAGAAAAAGAAAGTAGGAAGGAAGGAAGGAAGGATTACGTTTTAAATCAAAAAATGTTTGGTGTCTTCTCTCTGATATTCTTAATTATATCAGCACAATATAGAAGATTGTTCATTTTCTATTCATTGGTGTCTTTTCGTACACGCTCTCTGCATCAATAGCTTACTTAACTTGGCCAAGCAATACGCATAGACCACATTATGCAGCTTTTATGCTGTACACTAGTACGATCGAATTGCTATTTCTATTTAGATTCAATAGATAAGCATAATTACCATTATAAGAAAAGTAATTCATAACTACTTCAGATAAAACAATTATTGCACTCACTTCTAAGAGACCAGTAACAGTTGCAATAAATGCATTTCTTGATGATCTTAAATATGTTGGTCCACAAATGAAGAAGTGGGTATAAGCCTTAGCTAGCTTAAGATGGTCCTAGAAATGGTAACAAGGCTTTAAAATCATGAATTTAATGTGTTCTGTGTCATTTTTTCAAAGTCAGTCTTGCAAACCATGTATTTTTTAAAATTAAGTAATAGTTATCCAAAAACACCTGGATGAATAATAGTCAGGCAAAAAAATTTATGAATTTAATGTGTTGTCTGTGTCATCTTTTCCAAGTCAGTCTTGCAGACCATGATTTGCTAAGCTTAAAATTAAGTAATATGTGTCCAAACACACGTGGATAAGTTGCTTTTTCTTACTTTTAAGTAATAAAGGAGCAACATAATTTGTTATATCCAAAATTTACTATCTACACAAGGAAATCTTCTACCAGAAACATCTGCCGTGCTAATTCAGGGGATCTGATATGTTACATTTTGCTGAAAACTGCTCCTTTCCCCATTATATTGTAAACTGAATATAATGACTTGAATTATTTGAATGTGATCATAATTGCTTGTCGTTCCGAGAAAATGCCATATTTATAGGAAGCATATCGGGAGTAACTACACTTGAAAAATACCCTGCAGTTGGCGGTAATTGTATAGTTTGATTAGGCTCCACAAAGTTAGATTTTTTTTTTTTTTAACAAGTAGACTCTTTAATTGCTAATAGTCGAGTTCTTTTTGTCAATTAATATCTAGTTATTGCTTACTCTTAATACATTCACCTCAGCAACATATTAAGTTCAATTTGATGATGTGAAATAGTCTTAATTGTTTAAGTTCTAAGATTATTTTCAATTCTACTCTGTGATGTCTTATGGGGTTAATGTATCAACAGGTATAGAGTATTTGCACAGCAG